ACGTGCGACAAATTCGGAAGAACTCGATTACAGAATACGCCGTTACAGTCTATGGAGTATGGGTTGCCGGTTTGTTTTATAAATTTCGTTTTTAATATAAACTAGATAATGTCGTTGGTCATATGATTGCATGTGGCAATAAAATATTGCCGCAGGGACAACTTTGAACCTAAATTGAACGAACATAAATCTCGATGATGTTGGCTTTTTAAATCCCGACAACAACTTTTATGCATGACGGATCGATCAGCGCAATAGAAACCGTCGCAAAGTTAGTATTAAATTGCGAAAATACTCATTGGCGCACCGGCCATGGGTAACAAGGCCTAGCTATAATTGAACATATTCCAAAGTTGTGATATTCCACAAATATGATGATAATAACTTCGAAAGATTACTATATCACCATGATGATTTTCAGTTCAAAGTTTCAGTGGCAAAACTTTCATTTGAAATTTTCAGTGACTGCTCTTGATGAAATTATGCACTCCTCATGAGGGTATATATGCGACCGTCTTGTTTGGATCCACTATATGCTTGTCTATATATAGTTCAAACTTGATGCGTTTTTCGTGGACGAAAATTTTGAGCGGAAGATTATATACAATTTTAGACATAAGCCCTCTGGCAGGAATCGAACCTGCGGCCTTGCGATTCCGTGCAGCGTTCTAATCAACTGAGCAACAGAGTCAAGTTGTCGAGCTCAAACCACAAGTTCTTCTATAGCGGGTGCAGGAGTGCTTTATCACATGAGAGCGCAGCTCGAGTGTTTTATAGCTGATATAAAGCACAGACTGCGAATGTGAGTACATCAGATCAATTAATCATACTAATATCGTTTGAATATAGCAAAACCAATTAAACTATTAAATTAGGCAAACCACATCATGCAACAAATACGTATGTGCAATTATATGTGGACTGAGCGTAATAACAAGACGCCCGCTCGGCGTTAACCTCGGGTCGGTCGATAGGGCATCGTCTGGTAAATATGCAAAAATCGTGTAAATCACGATAGTTTAATAGTTCACTAGTATAAATGGTGAATCAGTCAATCAAATTAGCTCCGTTTTAACATTTTATTGATAAATAGTTAAATACAGGAACAATTTAGAGAATTTACTGACGCAATTATTTAACTGTAACTTTTTTCATTATTTGGGATATTTTGTGGACGAGTGAATGATACACATAGCTACTTCACTATTTCATCTTGTATTTAGTAACAGTAACAGACAATATTATCAGACTGAGTCTATTTGTTGATTGCACATAGCAGAACGAAAGTCACTTTAGATATTTTCAAAATATATCAAAGTACCGAAAATATAATTAGGTGTATATAACTGATCCATCATCAGTAATAGTTGTACCACAGTCGAAGAATGTAATGAGTGGACAGTTGGTAAAATTGCTGTCTACCAGTTACAGTAAGAACCATCCATAAAATGCTTAGCAGTATCAAACAAGTGAAAGTTGGTCGCGGTATTCCCATGCTATGCATACGACGTATTGTACATTATGTCAACATATACTCGAGAATAGTTATCCAGCTAAACATGTATGTCAAAATTATCACATCTTCTGGTTTTAAATCAACAATTTTGACGGATTTTGTGCAAGGACAGCTTCGGGTTCCGTTTCGCTTTGGCCGATGCTTGAAATTTCCCGGAAGTACACTTATTTACCGGAAGTTGTCGTCTCCTCCGCAGGCTCTTCGACTACGCGCGCGGCTCGACAAAAATGGAAAAAAAAGCCGAATTTATGACCTCGGTATCGTACCGACCCGAGGTAATAAAGATGCCTAGTGGAAGTTGTTGAGGCGTTGTACTTAAATTTATTTATTCTAATTATGCTCTGTAGATCCATTGAGCACTCTGCCAACGTTTTGATAAACAACGAAACCTAATCTTTATAATCACGTGCGATTCGAAGATTAAGAAAATCATCGACCGTATTTCACCAAGTAAATGAAAGAACTCCTTCACGCGAAAAGCAAAGGGAGCACTTTCATGTTTCGAACTTAATCAAATTAAATACGACTCATTCAAGTTCGGTAACTGATAGTAGCGTATTCGTGCCGGGTGCCAACATACAATTTATAGTGCTAAATTGCTACTAGCTACATCAATCATCGTTGTATGACATGTGTAATTTACGCATTACATGCAACTGGCTTTTATCTCAGCAGTTGCACATTAAATCATACACAAAACTATATTCTGCCTTTTCATTCTTTTAGAGATTCTTCATATGAGCCAAGCCAGCCCGGATTGAATCGTGTAATGAAACTGGAATCAAACTTAGCTCAACTTTTAAATGTCATTTTGAATGTTGATCAAAGGCGTGATAAAAGTTTATTAAACGAATAATTCCAGTAAGCCGCGTCAGCCCGGCTCTATATATTTGAACTACTCCGACCATAGTTATTCCTTATGTAACGTTTAAAATGATTTACACTTTTCCCTAAGTGAGCTTTTAGGATAAGGATTAAAGGCGTCTTTTCAGCTGCTGCGTCATATAACTCGTAAATCCCGTAACGATTCCACAAGATATACACTGATACACACCAACACTTGCACTGATTTATCAGTATCAATTTATATCAATGTTGATGCTAAGTATACTAACCTCAATTTTCGAATCCTTGTGTTTGCATTAAAACCCACAAAGCAAGCTATATTGAATTTGATCAAACTGCCAAGATCTTATCGAGTCAATCTGCGCAACAACAAGTGAGGGTTTTCCAGGGGGGTGCCTGTGTTTCCGTTTTCCATTGAAATAGTTATTCCTTGGTTTCCTTGTTCCCCACAGAGATTTCACTACATGCAATTGTTCCCTACTATAGAGCGTTTATTTGCACTCATTCTCCAGGGACCAACTCAACTAAAGCCATGGGGGCCATGTTAGTGTCCAGGCTGAAGAGTCTATTTTGAAATTCGTTTGAATTGGAACACCAACATGGCGGCTGTGACGTTATGTGCAAACGCTCTATTTTTTGGCTCAACCACGTTCCTCGAACCTGCCATCCTTCGGTGGAGGCTGGTGAGGCTATGTCGAAGAAGTACGAAAATCGGGCTCTGTTTGGTTGTATTTTTGTATATAATTGTTCGCATACCCATTTCTTCTACACTGATTGCGTGCAAATTATTATTCAAACTGTGAGTCAATTTGAACCCACGGAAGCGCAAAAACAGGATGTATTGAAAAACCAGACCTTAGTAAATAACTCTATTCTTTTTAATTAAGTACAAGATTTTGTACTTCAGAGAATTTAAAATATCTTCTAATCGTATGAATTAAAGAGCATGACTGCATACAAAATTGTCAAATTACTAATTAGTCGTATCACTTCTATTCTGTTTACACACCGGCGGGATCAACATAATAATATGGCATTCAAATTCCAACAAAGGCTAGATTTCAAAAGGTATACTTTTTTTGACATCATGTATACTTACATTAATAACACATTCAGATACTAACATATTACAGCTACGAAAGAAAAACTGAAATAATAAGAATAACATGTTGGGGAAGTTTATTTCAGTCGCTATTCCATCCTAGCATCTTTATATATTGCTCACTTTATAACTGAAGGCATAGGTCTGGATTAATTTTTGCCACTTTATAACTGAATGCATAGGATTAATTTTATCTTTAGAAAAATCGTAACATTTGAATTCTTCAGTACACATCTGCAATGCTTTTGAAGACTTTTCGTCACATATTAATTAAGCTCTAGTTTGAAAAATTCTGCGCTCTTAATTTCAATATTTTGCCAACCAAATCCATAAAGAATGAGTTTGTCTAACGTGAGTTTGTCGTGTGGCTAACGAGTTCATATTAATAATATATATACTAATCGAAAATTTATTTAGTAGTATATAATAATCTGTTCGAAATAATTCTTCATACAGGAAAATAAAGAAATTATTGTAAATTAGTTACATGGCAAGCATCACTTCCGGTGAAAACGAAATGGCAGACTGTGATTGGCTGAGAAGCACTTTCAGCGATCCATTACGTAAAAACGAACGCCTGTGTTTTAAAACAACAGCAAAACTAATTGAAAATTTGAAAATTATAATTTAATTAATTATTAATAAGATGTCTGCGAATGGTTTTAAGCGGTGGAAAAGAAGGAATACATTGCTAATTTTTTTTTTACTTCGACCAAATGTGTACCATGCACGCTACTGATCACTACTTTTCAAATCATGCATTTCTTATCGAGCATAAATGCCTATAATTGACATATAATAATTAACTTTTTATTAACCTCCCTTTCTCGGTATGCAGGGGCGAAACTATCCCCTTTTAATGAGGGGGTGTCTGGCAGAATTGCCCTGCCAAAACCAATGATGCCCTGCAGCCTGCAGCGCCAGCGCTAATACTACATCACTACGCTACGTGTATAATTGAACTGTCGATGCCAATGTACATACATACGAACTGGTTATTGCCGGTTTGCTAGCTGTAGTAAGTTTCTTAACAACTCTACATTATATCATTTAAAATCTTTGATTGCCTTTCCAATCGGAATGATTCATATTTTAGGAGGGTGCCCCCCCCCCCCAAACCTCCCCTCTCAAGTTTTGCCTTGTCGGTATGTACAGAGAAATATCGGACCTCGGTCTTTTTGCAAAACCTCGCCCTAAGTGCACGGTAAAAAAGATCTCGGTCCGATATTTCTCTGTAAAGACCTCGCTCTCGGTTAATAAGAAGTTAATATTATATGCATTTCAAATCATGCATTTCTTGTTTGTTTCTAGTTATAAGTGCCTATAAATGACACATAGTAAACTTTTTATTAACCTCGCTTGCTCGGTATGTACAGAGAAATATCGGACCTCGGTCTTTTTGTACAAAAGCAAGCTGAGATAAGATCGTGTAAAGAGTCATATTTCAAAGATAAAGTACATAATATGAAAGACTATGATGTATATAAATGGTGGAAAGAAATGAAAAAACTTGGCTATGGCCTATGTTCTAGCAAAATGGAATGGTGTGAGCAACTATTGGGTGAGGCAATCGGTATAATAGAGGAACTAGCTAAGAACATTAACAGCTTTTTCGTTAATTTATCATCAGATTTCCAACCCCTCGAAGGCGATCCGAACTATCAAGCCGAATGTACACCCGATATGCTTGCTGACCCGTATAAAGCGTATCGTGCTTTGAAGGAAGTTAAATGTCATAAATCAGTTGGTCCTGATGAAATTCCTAATAGTGAACCTGCACCGTAGCACGAGAACGAACGAATAGACTCATTAACTGAACGGCTGAGTCGTACTCATTCGCAAGATAGACGTCCTCTATTGGCTATGAGATTAACTCATTATAATACTCGTAAACTTTCGTTTGTTGTTTATATTATTAAATATGTCAACTCATATTGACCGTGATGGCAGCGATGCCAGGGTCAGGGAGTAATACCATAAATACAGCAATAATCACATACATTGCATGGTCATTGCTGTTTAATAGTGTTTATACAGTTGTAGAAACAGCAGCACATACAGTCTACCCGCGGGCGCATGCGGAACACAAACTATAAGCTATAAACAAGTTAGCAAGAGATCCACCCGTGTGCATTTCAGCATACGAGTTTAAGCCACAGCCTGTGAAAATTCCAGAATAACTTAATGCAAATCAGGCCTAGTGCAATCGTCGCGTTTCCCGTGTTCCAACGTTTGAAACATGCCTATAACTTGCATAAGTTCAGCTTTGTGAACTATTATTAATTTCCGATTCAAAATACTATTCCATATTCTCTAAAATATTCAAGTAGTAGACTTCGTTTTCCCCTATAGCTACATCTGCAACAACACTATAACTAAGCAAGTAGCTAGCAAAGTATACTGTAGGTGTTGCTAAAACTTCTTGGCCTTGGGAAAGAGTGCAATTGGAATTCATGCATGTCGTTACTTGAGTTTAGAAAATAATTGCTAATTTTCGAGTATTTCCAGTAGGCAGTATAGGCGTCAGCTTGTATCACACAAAAATGACAACATACAGTAGGTGTACAATGATACACGAAACTTTATGGTATATGGAAAACCAAATGGACTGGTCCTAAAGCTCAGTTTTATCAGTTTTAAGCAGCTAAATAATGTCTTCAACGCTTTCTCCGTGATATATTTGCCAGTAATTAACGCATCAATAGAAGAGTCGATCAATGTCATTGGACATTGAGAGAAACAATGCTTTAAACTCAGGCGTAAAAAAAAATACCTGTGGTTCCGGTTTCATATCGTGAAAAAATTAGGGTCGGTAGGTCGGAAATCATTTTATTTTTTAATATTTTTTTCATGGTTTTGGCGTTTTTTTGCTGGGCGATTTGCAGTAGAGTCCCGACATCAATATTAACTAGAGATGCGTATTTCCTATCGACGAATTTAGGAAATTTTGCTCAATAATTGACCATTTGCGTAATAGACTAAATTTTGATCTCAACAAAAATTTCATTACAGCTTGAAAGAGCATCACAAAATTAGTAATATTCCAAAGTTTCGTTGCAAAATGTTGCAAAATGCGGAAAATATAGCCTTGCGAAATTTGCAATTTTCAGTCATTTTAGATTACCAACCGGAAATTGACAGCCTCGAAGGGTTTGGGGCTGTCAATTTCCCGTTTGTAATCTAAAATGACTGAAAATTGCAAATTTCGCAAGGCTATATTTTCCGCATTTTACAACATTTTGCAACGAAACTTTGCAATATTACTAATTTTGTGATGCTCCTTCAAGCTGTGATGAAATTTTTGTCTAGACTTGTTTAGTTCAAAATTTAGTCTATTACGCAAATGGTCAATTAGTTCGCACAGTCAATCGCGTTGAAAAAATAATAGGGTCGGCAGAAAATAAATAGGGTCGGTCGGGAACCGAAACCACAGGTTTTTTTTTTTACGCCTCATTACTTTTCATGCACCGTTGCCATTAGGCAGCTTTTTTCGTGCGTTATGCAACATGTTTGTTAAAATGAGAGCTAAAAGAGATTAGCATAGAGCTCCTGCATGCACGTTGTCGGGCATGTTCATAAAACGTTCATCTCGCGCGATGTCATTTATAACAATATTCCAAACTGGACCATTTCGTCTATATTGTTAATTTATTAATTTAATGTGTCTGACTCGTCTAGGAGTTTTTAGGTCTTAATAATACTATATGCGTATTATTGCAATGGTGTCATTTTTTAGCACAAATAACTACATGTATGTCTTGACTTAACTTTATATTGTTAATCCCTATGGGCTTTCCAATTTGTAAAAAAATGTAATACATAACTCATGATCATGCAAATTAACTCTTACTTATTAATTATATAGAGAATAATACATGGGTGCTTGGAAGTACCAGATTTATTTCTCGCGTTGAACATGATATCTCACTCGTTCGCGCAATTTTCTGTTTCTTATATAAACAAATTCAGTGAAAAACAATGAAACGTCCGTGGCAATGCGTTTTACAACAAATGATATTTTCACACGTAAAAATATCGTACTTTTTACGTTTGTTTAAATACGATTTTTCGGCTTAGTGACCAAAAGTTCTATATAACACTTATGTTTATATAATAAATATTCGTTCGCTCTCGTTTTTACTCGTCCGATGCGTACGAGATTAATTATGCAATCCAATCAGATTTCAGCTTTTGACCAAAACACATTTGCATACCTGCATATTCGTTCGTTCTCGTGCTACAGTGCAGGTTAACTAATGGTTAACCTGCACCGTAGCACGAGAACCAATTTACGTCGACGTCAGCTAGGACGTCAGGGCTATGCAGAGGACTGGGACTAGGTTGTCGTCCTAATGTAGTCCCAGTCCTCTGCTTAGCCCTGACGTCCTAGCTAACGTGGACGTCGTAGATCTTAAGCTATCTAATATGGCTTGTAAATTTAACATAAACAACAAACGAAAGTTTACGAGTATTATAATGAGTTTATCTCATAGCCAGTAGAAAACGTCTATCATACGAATGAGTACGAGACTGTCGTTCAGTTAATGAGGAATAACGTTCGTTCTCGTGCTACGGTGCAGGTTAACTAACAGGATACTTCGAGACTTTGAGTCGAATTATCCCCAGTGGTGTCTGAGATTTATAACGGTACTTTGAGACAAGGAAAAATCCCTGAATTACTAAAGTCATCAATTGTCTCCCCAATACCTAAGTGTATGCCGCCCAAGACAATTGAGGAAGACCTTCGTCCAATATCTCTGACACCGCAGATAGCCAAATTAATGGAAGGCTTTACTTTGAAACCGTACGTTCCTGACTGATATTGGCGACCAGATTGACCCATATCAGTTTGCGCTAATTGCGATGAAAGGCCGTTCTACAACACATGGATTAGTCTTTTTGCTGCATAATGTCTTGGAGACCCTTGACCAAAGTAGTTCCTCGGCTCGCGTATTTTTCGCTGACTTTAGTAAAGGTTTGGATTTAGTTGATCACGTGTCCCAATTGCTGAATTATAGAAATTGAATGTACGCCCCGCTGTAGTGGGATGGATTCGAGCCTTTCTCACGAGAAGAAAACAGTGTGTTCGCATTCGAGATAAGATGTCCTTGTTTAAGTGTTTTAATGGAAGTATATACCTTAAAGTACCAAACTAGGCCCTATCCTATTTGCGGTTCTGGTAAATAAATAGTCTACTTGGCGAGTGGAATTCGAATTTTAGAATAAAATTCGTGTACGATCTAACAACTATCGAATTTATCCCAAGATGTTCACTGAGTGTAACTCCCTTGCTGGTCAATGATATCTACGATTATGCTTCTACAAGGGGCATGCGATTAAACTAGAAGAAATTCAAAGAATGATAATTAATTTTCTCCAATACAGATTACCATTCCAAGATGTATTAGAGGTTGGTGGGAATAAATTGAAAGAGAATCATCGTACAAGTCACTTGGTGTTTATTTGAATAACGATCTCTCATGTAATATAAATGTAAAATGATGTTTGTTGGCTCCATGCACAATCTCGATAAATTAGGGTGTGAAGAGCCTATGATGGTAAATGCAAAACCCATACCACAAATCAGTACTCAAATGTGTCTGGGAGTAAAACTGGATGAAAATTTGAGTTGAGACAGTCATATTACATTGATATGCAAGAAAATAAGTGCACCTATTGGCGTTATGAGACGTATGAAACCTTTTGTTCCGATGCATATATACATTAGAATCTGTTTATAAAAGCTTGTACAGCCATACTTTGATTATTGTTCTCCTTTGTGAGACACTTGTGGCAAGTTGTTAAGAGATAAGCTCCAAAAATTTCAATACCGGGCAGCGAGGGTTGTAACGGGTGCTAATTATGAGTCTCGGTCGGCTGATGTTCTTAACTCACTCTCGTGGGACACTACCAAGTCAGTATTGATGTATAAAATACTTAATGACCACACTGCGCCGGCTCTTCGGGGGTCATTTGTGGGAAGAAAAATGGATTAAACTAATTACCATCTCCGCAATACTGCAACAGACCTTACATTACCTAAGCCAAAAAGAGAATTTAATTAAAAAAAAAGCTTTAAATATAGTGGCCGTGCTTTGCGCTGGAATCAGCTCCCAAATGAAGCGAAACTAGCACGTTCGCTTCACTCGTTTAGATTAAATGTTGGATAGTGACATGTATACATTTGTATATAGAAAAGTGTGTATATATAGTATTTAGATATAGTTATTTATTTATCTATTTATTTATTTTCAAACATTTTTAATATTTAACACGCCCCTCATGGAAATCAAGCCAGATTTTATAGGGATAGCGTGTTTCTTTTTGTTAATTTTAAATAAAGTATTGCCTGCCTGCCATTTGCACTGTGTGACTATATTACTAAGAAAGCAAATAAGAGACTCTATATAATGCGTATACTACGGAGAACAAGGATTGGGTATCAACAACTTGTAACTGCAGTATACTGCAGCTTATAGTCAGACTAATCCCAAAATGCGCTGTCCCTGTTTGGTCTGCCATTCCGGACTACTTAACAGCTAAAGTTGAGGAAGCCAAAAAAAAACTCTTCAATTCCAACCGCGTTGGGACAAATCATGAATATAACTTACGACATCTAAGCGAATCTAAATTTTATAACTTGCAAATATTAATATCTTCTAGCATGTAAAAATATGTAACTTGATAGATTTTTAAAGATATAGTTATTCTTGATAATTATTCTTGATAATTTATGTATTGACTTGTAATTCAGCATTTGCTGCAATAGTTTTTACAACGTGTCCTAGTTGCAACGTGTCCTAGTTGCAACGTGTTGCAACGTGTCCTAGTTTTTTTATGCAACAATATTCAGTTTACTGGCCATGCAGAAGGAGGAGGAGCAGCCGGCCAGTACAGCGTGTTTATTGGGCGGAAAATGTTATTGACTGGCTAGAAAAATGGCGGCCAACATGCGTAATGCGACATGCGTGACGACAGAAACTTCAAAGCTTCCGACGTAATTAAGTGGCCCTTCTGTATTTATCTTTATTCTGTGCTCGCAGTTGCTAAGACACCAAACTTTCAAAATATCCATCATATTATACTTCCTGCATGGTAAGACAATTTTGCTGCAGCAAGACGCAACATGTGTCGGGAAATATCACATGCCTATGGAAGGTACACATCATATCTCACAACATATAGAGTGATTTCCAATGGCTCAGTAAGAATATAGAAGACAGCAATGACGATGATCCAGCTCTTCATGCGGTGGCTACGTCCAAAAAACCGTTTTAGTTATCCGTAAAACAGCGATTTTGTTTGCTCGTCCAACTCAATTCAATAGTAGAATTCATTGGATATTTAAACGTTTCGACGTTAAAGAACGTTGTTTGCGCGACATGCTTTACTCCACATTGATAAGCATAAATAGCAAGACCAGATTTACAAAACTTAGGGGCTGTTTATATGGAAGCGAGCCAGCCTGGGTACCCGAGCTGGCTCGCATCCCCAAGATAAATTTCACCACGCGTTTACATGAAACTTACATGAAGGGCTGGCTCTAATTTTTTTTTGCGTAAACAACTCCATATATGGAAGTTAGTTCCTTATATGGGAGTTGTTTGTGCATTCTGAATTATTCTACTTATTTGCGCATGCGTATTTGCTAAATTTCCAACCCTTCTAGGAGGGCTAGCCCTCCCTGTTGCGTTTATATGGAAAACTACCCAGCCCGTTTACCCGCGATCTCGGGTAACACAAAGCGGGACCCCGATTAGGCGGGCCAGCTCGGTTCTCATATAAACGCAACATGAAATTTAGTAGGAAATATTGACAAAGACGGGATTCCGCCTAAAGCGAGCTAGCTCGGGTATCCGAGCTGGCTCGCCTCATATAAACAGCCCCTTAGTTAGCAAAACATGAAAGTAGATGTCAAAAGTGCTAACATGCATGCATATAAACAAACTCATAACAATAAACACACTCATTGTGCAATTTGCGCTGAGAGGTCGAACGTTTTAAACTTTGGAGGACAACCTTAATGAATTAGCTGTATACATGTGGAGAAGTATGAGAAGGTGAATAAAGGGTATTAGTTAAATATTAATATTATTAGTTCTTGAGAGGCTTTCGTTCAATGATTAAGATAACTAGATAACAGTCTGCGTGTTGCAAGCGTTTCTTTGAATAGAAGTACAGTATACATGTTGTGACCAGTCGTGAGCTGTATCAATTATTCTACAATAATTGAAAAGATAATACACATGCACTGGATAATACACTTGCAGGATAATATACATTTGATGTATGTTTCTTCTCGTTTGGTGTTAGTTCTAGCTTAAGTGTGGGTAGTCGTGCGAAGACGAGTACAATTAGGGATTAGTTATACGAGTGATGTTAGGAAATTTTGCCAAAATTGGACGAGTCCATTGTCCAATTTGTCAAAATTTCCAAACATCACGAGTACTATTAATCCCTAATTGTGCAAGCAACATCACTTGAGTACTTGTTTATTATTAGCATAACAAAATTGGATAATTTTCAATGTCAACATCATGTTCTCGCCAAAGCCCAGTTTTGCCAGAATATCAACCAAAATTGGTGCTTTTGTTAATTCGTATTTTCATTTAGTTCTTTCGCTTTAATAATTCCTCTATAGCAGTTCCATTTGTGTTTAAATACATTTCCGCCATTTGGTCTGTTTTGGGAAAATCAAAATAATTGTAATCCTATCAACCAATCAGCATCTAGTAATTTTGTCATGCAAATAATAAATACATGCAGTTAATCTGGTTTAAATATATGATTGCATGCTTGATCATTTCAGAGCTGTTGTCTGAAGAGAGTTCCTTAGTTCTGCTGTAAGTTGTACAGCATCCAGTTAATTGGCGGCCTGTGTATAGGTAAGTAAACTCGTATATGACAGAACTTTGGTATTTAATTTCTGTTCCATCTTTCAAAGAGGCGAAGGAGTTAGAGTCAGGTGTTTTCTAGTTGATAATAAATTTACAGAGAAATGTTAGCAGAGTTTTTTCCGCATCCCACCGGGCACACGACGTTGTTACAACATTGAAATTTGGTAGAAAAAAGGTTGCGACGTCGACAACCTAATATCTACGTTACTCTGACGTTGTTTTACAAACATTGGTTCAACAGCAGCCAACAGACGTTGAATTAACGTTCATTCATGGTTGAATGTACGACGTCGATTTGTGAACCAATCTCAACGTTGTTTTAACGTGGATTCAACGTTGAATTATGGTTGACGAAATTGGCAACCTAATTTCATCGTTGTTTCAACGTCGAAACAGTAACGTTGATTCAATTTGCATAGTCAACCATTTTCAACGTCTATCCAACGTCTGGAAGGTCATTTTCCAACGTTGATTCAACGTTGGATAAACGTCATTTTGCCCGCTGGGATATGAATGGGCGGGTTAGTCTAGTTCCAAATAGCTGTGTCAATGATAGCGCTTGCTACTAAGGTCTTTAGCAAACAAAAGGTTGTAAAATGGAGGAAGAGAGTCAAATATTTCATGCGAATCTGCCGAGTTTTGTTTACGTCTTCGACCAACCAAATTCGCTATCATATTTTATGAGAGTTGCCGAGTTTTTTTTAACTTTCTCGACCAATCAAATTCGCTCAATATGATCCCGCATCGTCCCATGAAATTTGTCAGAAAATTCCAAATGTGTTGTACATTTTTTGTTGTATCCAAATTTTCTTAGTTTCGTGTGTGAAGTGAGCATGTATGTGCGTGTCGGTAAAATAGTTTCCTTCCTTTCTAATATTATGAGAGACCTTATATAAGATTGACGTTAACCAACAGCAAACCGCTAATCGCAAACTATTACTCGCTTTTGGAAGTAAGTTAAACGCGTTTTCGACAGAGATGTATAGCTAATTCATATTCCAATTTTAATGTACAAATTGTTCTAACTTCGAAAGGTTAACTTTTTACTTTAAAATACGCCGGATTTGAAATTTGCCGCTGTCTGTTAGCTGCCTCCACTAAACGTCAATCTTAAGTTCTCTATATAGACATGCACGTCACGGCTACATTCACAATGCAATATCGAGCCTTCCATGCCGTTTAACTAAACCCTCATTCATGGCTACAAAAACAATTGCTGGAACATTCTCACGGTAATACAATGAATATTTATGGACAAAAAATTTGTTTGACCACATTTTCAAAAGAAATTACTGGTAATGCTAACGGTGTAAAATATTTCTATTATGGGTTAAAAGAATATTTATATGGATTCATTTCCTGTTTTGACAAATAAGATTCTTGCCTTTTACTAAAATAAAAATAAATTGACTGAATTATTCGCACATGAAAGTGCATGGGACGGCAGATAAATTTCTGTCGCAAAAAAGGCAAAATAGTGGTTTCTTCCGAAGAACATTACTGGGAAAGGTGGTGCTACAATCTTGGACAAAACCATTGAGACCATTCCAGCCAATATTACAAAGTTATTGAACATTGACAAAACAAAGTTTGTCTCCCCCCCCCAATTCAATGTTGTGAACAACGCCGAAACAACTTTTGGTAATATACCATGATTCAAGCTCAACATTGAGTTGGGGGAGCGGGGGTTTAAGAATGGCAACATGATTCAACATGGAGTTTATCATAAAAATACACGACTTTTCTATAGGGGAAAATAGTCTGAACCAGTTATGTCCAAGATTGTAGCTATGTGGAAGCGGGGGGAGGTTTTTCTCAGGGTAAGACCGAGCTAGGTTAGACCGAGGTTGGATAGAGGTTCGACGCCACTTGACCAAGATTGACCGTTCGCGACATGTGGGCTGACAACAATCGCACGTCCATCGAAATGCTCTCTGAATTAAATGGTACTTGCCATACAGCTTGACTAGAAGTGCATCATAGTTTACACCATCATATTCACCTCAATCGAAGATCCTTAGCTAAGATTTTCCGCTCAATATTCTTCTAACTTTGCTGTTATTTAAAATACTAGTGCATTTGTCTTCGGTGAACAACACCAACATTCGCTTTGGAATACGTTCTGCTAATCTTCGACTCATATGCATGTTTATCAGTGAATCAGCGATGAAATCGTTGAATCGCAAACAGTATAAACGTTGATGACAGATAAGAATACCTCGTGAGGATAGGAGTAAATGATTTGTGGGTATGATTGCAAGTTTTGTATTTATTGGGCATTATTTTGCATTTAATGAATGTAACACTTACAAAAGTAGAGATACTGATATACTGTTTGCTCGCTATTTCACTGAGCAATTCCAAAACAGTCATTAACGCAGCTATTATAGCAACAGCTTCTGAATATCGGGAAAACAAAATAAACGGTGTGATTTATACTGTACATAGACAATTGGTGGTTAATATTGCAATTTTGCCCTAAACAACGGTATGATGAGTAAAGTGGCGTGTGCCTATATGTAGTTTATCAGCATAAGGAATGGTAATTATTGCGGGCATGAACTGACCAGGCGCGCAGGAATAAGGAATGTAAAGTGAAGAAAAATCTCACATTCTCACTGTCGATGGACAAATATATGATACTATAACATGTATGTATAATTATTTTTGCTCTATTTGGGCCTTAATTTATGAATAATTGGAAATGACAAACTATCGTGGTATATAATTTATATAAATGATAAACTATGGTATATAATTTATATAAATGCCTGCTAAGAAACTATATGAAATATTAATAGCATTAACCTAATAAATTCCATCTGTCGGAAAATACGTCATTAGTGGATCATTAATTATGTCCTGTGATATATCTTAAATTCACAGGCCTAGATTACGACCTTACGTGGCACCTGACCAACGTTTGCCTCTAGAGCAAATATTTTTGTTTAGTACACAGGATCACTTTACGCTGGACCACCCAATATCCGGACGTGTTTTTTTTCAATCTATCGTGAATGTTTTTAGACTATAACACACACCGTAACCACATTTGGAAAACACACACCGTAACTACATTTGAAACAACACGATATTAGTGTTTTGACTTTTCATGCAACTTGTTAGTATCTGACATATGTAGGCTATATAGTACATTATACGACTGTTAGTACGTACATACCGCGAAAAAAGACTTGAGCACTTGATCTTGTTTTAAGCGTGATTGCATTTTCGGGTTTGCTTCGGGACAATTAACCTTAATTGAAATAGCTGTATACATATTATTGTATATTGGAGTATTGTCATGCATATATTTTATTTTAATTAACGCTGTGCGTCTTCAATAAAGCATTTGTCATATACTGTACTGGTATATCGTATGGATGAAAATTTCAGTGAATCACAATTGTCTTTTAGAACCTTGTGATCGGACCTACTGTAGCAAGTATGTTTGTTTAAGCCCGCCTTACCATTATCAAACAGTAATTACTGATTCAGTACTGTACGGCTGTAATAATTTAATCCGAGTTTAGAAATCATATACGAGGTCCATTTCTAAGAGACATGGTAAATATTTCCTTACAAGAACAATTCATTCACAAATAGCTGCAGTATTAAACTACTATAAGCCCAAAAGTTAAAACTTAAGCTTTAGAATTTAAATTAACGTTTGCAAAGGACAACCTTTTTTTAATTGGCTGTATTTAAGAGTAAGTTAAAGTGAAGTGGGACTGCATGCGTGGTTTTTTATGTTGAGCAAACATGATCTCCGCACAAGCACCGAAGTGTGTTATGTAATTCTATATCGCCATGGTTTCGACTCTTGATATATATGTGTAAATATAATATAGAAAATTACACGATTCGAGAAGTATTAATGAAAAATCGCACGCGTGTTTGGCGAAACACAGGTGTGATTTTTCATTAATATTTCGAGAACAGGTGTAATTTCCTATTAATATCATTTTATAGTCAATTTTAGACGAGCAATCAATGATAAGAAACATTCTTTTTTATGCATTCAAGCGAGCAGAGTCACACGGCGCCTCTACATATGGTCAATTTTGAGAGCACTTTCCGGACATTAATTTTAAATTCATACCTGTAAAAACTGTAAATAACCTTTATTTCTTCTTTTTCTTGTTATGAAAGCATAAATAAGAGCTCATTGTAAAACAAGAGCTCAGAAAATATAAATTTTCACCTAACGTTGTTTATTTTCAAGTTGACATTTTGTTTTTAATGCACGCATGATCCACGCGGACTCGTATCCGTGCCGATTAAAGATTAATCGGCACGGTTTTTAACCAATCAGAATCGAGAAAATTGACTAAAATGATATTATCACCATAATTATATTGTCTGTCCATACGTATACTTGTCTGTCCGTCCGCTGCTGCTGCCTCGTAAATGGTGGTCAGCGGTGAAGAATATTGCCGGTCTTCAGTCTTCTAAGAATGTATCTACAATGATGTTCCAAGGTAAATCCTACTGTGATGCCGATTTAGCAAATTTGCTCAACGACAAGTTCGTTGCTGTAGGGTCCTCCTTACCCAATCTAAACTGGCTCCCCCTTCCCACAAATGACATTCCAGATGATTTCTGCATCTCTGTCGAGGAGACTGAAAAGGCCCTATTATCATCTAAACTTCATTCATCTGCTGGTCCCGATGAAATTCCTTCTTGGCTTCTCCGGGAAAATGCTTCAGTGTTGTGTCGACCTTTGTGTTCTATTTTTAATTCATCAGTTCGTGAAGGATTTGTTCCCTCAATATGGAAGGCAGCAAATATTACACCAGTTCAAAAATCTTCGCCTCCTAAAGATGTTGATTCTGACTTCAGACCAATCTCCCTCACACCAATTATCAGCAAGATTCTTGAATCCTTTCCCTACAAATGGCTACTTGACTCCGTCTCAAAAAAAATTGATTCCTTGCAATTTGGTTCGCTGAAGGGTTCAAGCACTAGTATGGCATTAATCTACATGCTACATAAATGGTTTGAAGCAGCTGACAAACAAGGTAACACTATACGGATTTGTTTACTTGATTTTTCCAAGGCGTTTGATAGATTAGATCATAACATTCTGTTGGAAGAATTGAAAGACATGGAAATTCATCCCGTGTTACTCAACTGGATCGCAAACTTCCTAACAGGCAGACAACAAAGAACCCGTGTTGGTCAGTTCTTTTCTGAGTGAAAGTTTTTAAACGCCGGCGTCCCACAAGGAACGAAGCTTGGCCCGCTATTATTTTTGATCATGATAAATGACTTGGCTGTAGCGGATGAAACTGTTAAATTTGTCGATGATACTAGCCTTTGGGAAATAATATCAAACAATTCCCCTTCCCAGTTACCCGCTAACATCATCAGCTGCTCTGAATGGTCATCAGACAATAATATGAAGTTAAACGTATCAAATACCAAAGAATTGCGTGTCTTCTTTTCTAAGCTTACTCCATCGTTTGCCCCTATTACCATTCGCGGTCAAGTGGTCGACGTCGTTTCCGAGGCCAAACTATTGGGCGTTGTCCTTTCGGACGACCTCAAATGGAACTGCCATATTGACTATATTTGCAAGAAAGCCGCGCAGCGTTTGTACGGTCTGCGCCTTCTTAAAAGAAATGCTTTACCTTCTCATATTCTGATCTCAACCTATTGCACACATATTCGACCAATTGTTGAATATGCTTGTCAGGTGTGGCATTATGGCCTTCCTCATTACCTGAGTGATCAAGTTGAAAAAATACAAAAAAGGGCATTAAAAATTATTTTCCCTGGAACTATCTATGCTGAATGTTTGCTTAAAGCTAACTTGATGACTCTTTACGATCGTAGAACTGTCCTTTGCAAGCGACTTTTTTCGAAGATGTTGGAACCCACTCATAAACTGAATGCCTTAGTACCGCCTAAAAGTCTTCAAACTTATAATCTGAGGTCTTATCCCAACTTATTAGTACCTATAGGTGTAGAACTGAACGTTTTTCGAACAGTTTCATTCTTGCTGCGTCTCGTGCTTATAAACTTTAGATTATTATCGTTATTTTTATCTAACTTACCTATTTTTACCTGTAAATATAGAATAGATTGAATACCTATGTTCTTATACCCTGTAATTCCAAAGTAATTCAGTTGTTACTGCTAGTTTGGAAATTTATAATAATAATAACAATAGATACAGACATATATATATATTAAATTCTTGTTTCTGTTACTGCTACGTATACTGTTTGCCATAACGAAACCTATTTTATTGACAACATGAGCTGCACCTTTGAATTTATTATATCTGAGTAAATTCTTAAACACGCCCGAATTGATCATTATGATAAATTCGCGGCACATTTTGAATTTATCAATAGAGTTAATCATAAAACCACAAGCATTAGACAAGACTTCTTGTTATAAATGTAATGGCACTAAACGACAGACTGGTCACGCGGGGGTGGGGAGATTTTCCAAATTTCTCAAAAAAATAATTATTAAAAAAGTTTTAAAAACTATTGTTTAATAAACGAGCAGGAGTGTTTTATTAGGTTTAAAGCCACCAGCGCGCAGCGCGAGTAGCTTTAGACCTAATAAAACACGACCTGCGAGTTTATTAAACGGCTTCAAACACGACTACAAATTCAATAGATATACTGCCTTATTAGTATTCTTTATATAAAGAATACTAATGAGGACACGACTACAATAGATACTACACTGGGCGAAAAATCAAATAATCCGACCTCTATACCTCGGTATTTAATATTGTTAGGAATATTAGTAATATTCGGGGATATTCTGAGGTATTCGCTCGAATATTTCCGGAATACTCGTAGTAATCTGCGCAGAATACGTCGGAATAAACTACACCAAATATTCCGAAGCAAAATACTGTCGGAATACTATACATGGCAAGAATTTATACATTTTTTGAATATTTTCCAGTTAAATTGATTTTCTTTAACTTAATCATACAATGGAAGCTAGCTTGTTGTCCCTGGGGTGAGAGGTTGGAATAAGTAATATTAATGTAAATGTAGGTCATATCTGGTGCGCCTAAATGCTAATATTTTTAATATCTACTTATAATATGAGATTAATGTGTGTACAAGAACTTAATTATGTAGCTACTCATTTGTCAGTAGCTATCTGAAAGCTGGAAGAATTTTGATCATGTTTGCTACTCATTTGCGTCGCATGATATGATGTGCCATGCACTTTTAAACTATCCAATTTCATATTCATGCAGGAAAGGCAAATATACAGGAAAAACTGAATTTCGCTGTCAATTTCGCAAAACTGCTATTAGTATCCAGTTTTGATCTACATAGTTTCTTTGGGTACTTATAATGTAGAATGAAAAAAATTTCTCGACTTAAATTTTGTAAACGGGGGGGGGGGGATTTTCCCAACACAGACAGCGTAGCTCAGTTGACAGAGCATTGAGCTAGCATTGCAAAGGTCGTATAACTATTCATTTTTATAACTATATATATATATATACCTATAACCATTCCTTTTTTTCCTAAACAAAACGCTACACGGAGCGTTAAGTCGCTGGATGGAGGACCGTGCAAGTTTAAGTGCAAGAAATAGCACTAATTAAAGAGCAAATTTGTTCAGTTTTTTATATTTAATAAAAAAACCCTGTAATTTAACTTCAGACAATGTGTTATTATTGCGCATTTTTAGTGACAGAAATAAAAACAAACAAACAAGAAAATCACGCTAAAATGAGGATTTCATGTATAGTTAATTAAGATGACATTGCTATTGGTAATTTAATTTAAGATGACAGCAGTTTGATAAAATTTGAATCCATCTGTTTTTATTCAGGGTTCCTCTTCTCGCATGGAGAGCGCCATTCTCGTACCCAGAGCCCTTCTAACGCGCGGTCAACGCAGCGCGACGAGGGGCTCTGGCCAAATCCATAACCGGATACCATAAAAACATGGTATGAAAACAATATCCGGTATTAGAACTAGCCAATCAGATGCCAGTTCGGATATCGATTTGGCCAGAGC